ATGAATTATTAGAAATGTATTTAATAGTGAGTCGATTATTCTGGAAGTTATACCTAGAATTTAAAGTATTATGGATAATGGATATTAACAATAGTATAATTATAAACCTCTTGAGGGAATGTGTAAGCTACAAGATACTCGTACAAAACTATTACTTTCTATTAGTCATACCAGTTATAATTATTATGTTACGTCTATATCCAGTGGCGTCCCACTCGGGTTTGTCTCACATTCGGTTCATGAATTTATTACTATTGCGACATTTCTCCTGCCGTTTGGGATTACACTATACACACGCAGTCTATTAGAAAATTATCAAACTAAATCCAAGTCCTGGCTTACTTGGCAGTTGTAAATTAGATTCAACCAAATTTTAAAACTTCTTTAACTGATGAACTCTCAGGTTTTTCTATTATTTGATTCCAAATATTTAATTGAAACTGCCGTGTTGGCCGAGTGGACGCATGTGCGACTGCCGGGCAAAGGGTCGATTTCCGGGTTAGACAAAGTACTATTGGATTTAAAAAAAAATCTCAGCTGCAGCACGGAATCTGGAACTGTGCCCGGTACCTATATGGCAATAGGCTCATCACCTTAATAGGTGATGGCAGATATTTCATTGCCATCATGATGGCATATATTTCATTGATATCGCATTGGGATTGCAGATCATGTATTACATGATCTCTTAACATAAATAGTGAAAAATGGGTGTTACACTGTACAGTGACATTAAGTGCTGTAATGTGCACCTCTACCTATTCCTTCAGAGATAAATGGCGTGATGTTATGTCATTATGTTATTGATTAACGAGAGGATTTTTTTAATAAAACTTTAACAATTTAGCAGTCATCAGTGCGCTGACTGCAGATTTCAATCATCTAACTAAATTAGTGAGTTAAATCCGTTGACATAGTCATGTTAATATCTTGTGAGACAAGTTCATTGCACAGGACAAATAACCCGTTACTTATGACGTCATCGATTCTGTATCAGCTGTCAAGGTCATCTTCATACGAAGGTCATTTGGGTGCAATAAGCAGTATCTGTGATTCAATGAAACGCTCACGACATCTTCCCAAACTATGAAATGAAAACTGTAAACATTCATAAACATTGGAACACGTGGGTTGTCTTTGTTAATACTCGTTGCTCGTCCTTCTCCATTCGAATCTACATTTTGGAATGAGCACCTAGCTTCACTGACGGACTGACTGACAGACTATTATTTATTTTGTATTTGTTGACGTTTCAAAAGTACCAAATTGTGGTTTAATTGAAACAAATGCTTTGACTTTGACTTTGAATAATTATGTTTTCTTGAGTGTACATTTACTATTGGAGTTAACTGAAGGGCTAGGGAAATGATAGTGTCAATTTTGAGTAATAGCTTCTGTTTATCGGTAAATGTGCCCGAATTATTCAAACAATTTATACGTTATTTCAGTATTATGCCTGTAATTATTAGAATTTTGTCTTTTGAACAAGATATTACGACAACCGCCGCATCGGTTATCATCATCAGTGACCGGGCAGTGCGTATCAGAGAATTTGCCTTTAATGGTGTTCTATCGACAGTAAAAAAACTTAAGTGACATCTAGTCTATACATATAATAAAATCGTAGGAAAACTGTACATCAAGTACTTTTTTTAAAGTTTGGTCGTGATCTACAGTCGATACCGAAAAAATATGGTTTTTAGAATTGTTTTCTGTTTGTCTATATGTATGTCCGGGATGAACTCAAAAAGTGCTGCATGGATTTACTTCAAATTCTGCATAAATATTACTAACAGGTTGGGGCTACATATCATGCTATCAACTACGAGGGAGGAGCTGTGAATCACAATTCACCGCGGTCGAAGTTGCGGGCTCAGCTACAAACATACATAACTTCACGCCTGTCTCCCATGGGGGTAGGCAGAGACTAGGGAACGCAAATTACTACGATTCCTACATACCTCTTTCGCTTCATCAACAGTCATCAATATTTTCATGCATGTTCGTCGGTGAAGGGTACTTTTAATTCGGCCCTTCTTTAATACGTATATCGCCAATCTAGTTACTAATAAATTCTTATTTATTTATACATTCATCATCAGAGTCATTTTCACCACCAGCCTGAATCATATTCACCTGAGATTAACCTGTGTGACCTTTCGAGAATATCTGTTCGAGCAATCTTGTCGGTCGTTGTCCGAAGACTGTACGTTTTACAAATATTACGATATTTGTGACAAATGGCTTCGTACGCGCATGAGTGCCAACTTTGGGAGTGATGTAGTGTTTACAGTAGGAGATAAGATGGTGTAACTTTGTAATTTGTGTGCTTTGGGAGAAATGGGTCAATTTCTGTCGTATTTATAGACTGCATACTGCATTCAAAATATTGAAATGCAGACTCAGAATATTAATGACAGCCATGTCATATGCTTAGGTTTTTGGAGAAAATAGTAATATGTTTCTAGTCATAATCAAAACATACGACAACTTCTTTACGCGCGACAAGAAGTCTCTCATAACAAGTCTAACCTTGGAAATTAAACATAGTATCTTTTTATAACGACTATAGTTCCTACCTATCTCATACAAACTTGAACAACTTTTTTATGCGCGCTCAGTGACTTTTATAAATAATTTCGATGAAGATAATTGATGTTAGTGATAAATATAAAATGACTCAGTGGTGTACACAAAAAACATGAACAATTTTTCTCGGTCGGAAGGAATTTCCGGGGCCTTGTTATTCACGATGAGTTAACATTCGGTCATGGCGGTTATTTACGTATAGTAAGACATACCTAATGTGATAAAAATGTGAGAAAAATCGAATCTAAAAAAATACTAACTACTTTTATCATAAGTTAATTAAATATTTTGATAGTCATAGAAATAGAAATTACTCCGGCCAGCTTCTGACTAGAGGCAAAACAAATACAGACTTTATGTAAGAATGGAACTAAAGCTAACTAGACACTGCAAGTGATGTTACACGCCCAATAGGGATGATGCCGATACGCAGCCGCGGAGAACGTAATACGCGGGCTCCGACTCGAAATGCAAGAGCACCCAGGCGGTAGAACTCATTCGATGATTTTCCTCCCTTACAAAAAGGAATGTTATCAATCTTTTACTAAGTTATTTTTACCAAGACGTAATAGTCAGTCAAAGGCCGGTCGTGGGCCGCAATCTATAGTGAAAACTCAGATTTTATTCGTCCCAATAATTCCATGATAAATATTCAGGTGTTGGCGGGATTGCCAACACTACGGCGTGACTAAGTGTTGTACAAATCCGCGGCCGACGGTGATGCGTATCTATTATTGTTACAATTGTGTTCGTTGGTGTCGTGTGTAGCGGGCTTTATTCTGGAATAGATTTGCTTACAATTCGGAGACGAGTTATCACGTTGACATTCATACTGTTTCACATTTTTTGGGGAAAACTATGGAAATGCAGAAAGGTAAACTTCTTCATATGTATCGTACTAAAAATTTCTTTTAAAAATTTGTGTACTCATTTAACTCGTATAAACGGAAGCTTGGGTATACAGAAATAAAGTCTTGATTTGCTCTAATGTTTACTCGACACGTACCTAACATAAATATTTATTTACCGTTAAATACAGTTCGTCACAACATCTGTACACCTAGAAATGCATCTCAAATGTGAATCAACTAGTCTTCAATCGATATTTGGCTCAATCTCAAAAAATATAAATCATTTTAAAATATCTGAATTAAAACTATCAAACTCAAAATGACAAGAGTGCAGGAATAAAATAAATCATTCTCATTTAACAATTAATTAACTAAAGCGAGCTTTGGCAGTAAGCCGGGAATTCTTCGAAACAAAATAATTCCGTGCTAAAATAAAATTCGCAAGTTTAATATTAAATGTAGACAGAAATACAAGTCTAGGATAAAATACAGATAACATTACAAACTTCAAGTATTTCTGTACAAATAAAAAAAAAACTGCTATTCTACTTACAGTTAGTCTATTTTTTAGTTTCCAATTTAAAATTAGAAACATTTTCTTTCATTTCGAATAAAGATTGACATAATAACGGACTATAAATACGGCACACGTGCCGCGTCGCTAGTGATGGGACAGACGCTGTCATATTGTTATTGTTTATTTATAATGTCATATTGTTAATATTACATTATTATAACCTATAATTTGTACAAAAAATAAAATGTAATGTCTGTTATAAATTAAACATGTTATACAGAAAAGACAAAATTCAAAAATTCATTTATTCACATTTAAATAGAGTTAATACATTTGATGGTTTTTATGTTACATCCTTTGTTCTTATAGTCTATTTAGCCTGCTTAGGGCATGTGAAGTTAAGTACATTTAAAAAAGGAAAGGTATGGTTATACATAATTATATTCAATAATAATCCAATTCAATAACATTCACAATATAATTCAATTAAATTCGAGTCGGAGTCCAATACAAGTATGAAGTCAATTATTTTATTTTGCTAAACAATGTCAATTATAAACTCTGTCATCAAATACTATTTACAGTTAAATAAAATAAGTTGAACATTTATCATATTAAACAATGTCCCTTTTATCATACAAGCCAGTAGCCGTTTTTACATTATAACTATTTTTGAAACCATTCATTTATCCCTTAATTTGGCAAGACAAAAAATTGTTAATACTCATGTTTTTTTTCACATTTTCTGCTTTACTAGAAGTTGTAGGGACAAGAAAAAATAATTTAAAAAATCTGGAATCACCTCATTTCCTGAAAATGCATGTCCAGTATACTGGACCTTGCCAGGTTTGCCATAAAGTTGTCAATCATATTGATGTGCTGTATATTACACATTGCCGAATTATTACTTTCTTGTACTTATTTCTGTTTTGAGCAAGTACTAAAATAAAATATAATAAAACGCAAAAACAATGATGTTTTGTATTGTATTAGAGTTTATTTTTTTATTTTTTATTTTTTATCAATATAATGAGGAACAATTTACTAAAATTAAGTGAGATCAACAATATAATCAGTCTGAATGAAAAGATACGTAACAATTATTATTCTAAATTTCAAATAAAATTAAACAACTATAGTATTATATAATCAGTCAACATAGTTAGAAACTTTCACTTACTGTGATAATCATAAAAACAATTTCTCTTACGTACTAAACACAGTCTTTGGTTACATTTTAGACAATACACATCAGTCTTATTTTTGATGCATAGTTTGCAGCGACCGTATGACTCTCCAAAACTAGGGAAATGGCCAATACTATCATAGCGGACACTGTCGTCTGTTCGACAGTTGTTGCTTACAGATATACGACATCTACTTTTATTCTGTAACTCTCTTGCTAATTGGCACCGAAAAGATTTCAAAGGCATGTGCTTCACTGCCCGATTACTACAATCTCTGCGATAAACTAACCAGGCGTTGTTGACACAAATGTCGAGCATTTGGGCAAAGATTGCAGTATACCAACGACGGCTCTTATAAGTAGTCCGATACAACGCAACCAGCATATCTGCGAGATCGACGCCTCCCATGTTACTATTGTAATGCTTTATGAGTTCCGGACAGTCCACATCAACTCGTGCTTTCATTTCCTTGCTGTATCTCTTTATTTTACCTACAGGGTAAGCATCAGCGTAAGTACTGATGAGAGTGACCACCTTATTATCGTACCATTTAACTATAGCTACCTTATTGTCATTATCAACGACTTGACAATAGGAACCTCTGCCTTTCTTCTTTAAAGATTTATCACTCATCAGTAGTTTTTCACAACCTTTTAGCCGGTTTTGGCGTATAGTGCCTAAACTAAATATACCACATTCGTCTCTAAGGTGTATTGCCAAATCTATAGTCGAAAAGTAATTATCAAAATATACGACACAGGCTCTCATCTGTATTGTCTTGCATAAAGCAATGACAACTTTAGCTCCTAAAGTTAAGGTTTCTTCGGCTTGTGAAAACTGGATATATCTGAATGTGTCTTCACCTCCATAAAGCAAGAAGTCATATACAATTCCCGACATGCCTGCTCGGACAAAGTTTTTGAAACCCCATTTATTGGGTTTCATGGGATTGTACTGTCTCCTGTTACCAGCCTTTTTGCCTTTATACGGTATGGTCATCTCGTCAATACTATATGTCATTTCCTCTTCGGTAGCCAAGCAGTTTCTTCTCACTTTCTCTACAAAAGGTCTAACTTTGAAGTAACGATCTGAATTTGGACAGGAGTTATCAACAAAATGGATGTATCTTCGTATGGTTTCAAACTTTTTTAATGACATAATTTCAGCAATAGCTGGGTACCGTAATTCTCTCGACCAATAATCTACATATGATGGCAAATTTACCACACCCATAAGTAATAATATGGAAATAAAATCTTTCATTTCGTCCTCAGAGATATTGATGGATCGGCCAGTAACTTGAACTGCATAAAGGTTGGTATTATGTACTATGTCTTGTAAAATATCCAAAGAAAAGTATCTCCAAAAATAATCTATAGGCGTGAAATCGGGATGCAAGTTATTCTTAAATTCACAATTAGTTATTTCGGCTTTGTGCAGGAATTTGCCTTTTTTCCATTTGTGGTCTGTGGGTTTACGTTTTTTGGGCCTGATATTATGGACACGAGAGTGGGTGTTGACATAGCGCCTTCTTTTAGACCTGGTATTCACGGCATTAGGTATCGGTGATATATCTTCAACAGACGGTATAGAGTGAATGGACGACAATGTTGGAATATTATCAAAATTTACCTGACTGGTCGACGGCAACACTTGGTTGATTATTGGTGTTAGAGGCACTGCTAGTTCTTGATCTTCTAGCTCGCTATTGGGTATCTCATCTTCAGAAGCATTATTCCTATCTTCATCGTCTTCGGAAATATCTAAATTTTCTAATGACGACGGTATAGATGGGGCTTCAGAGGACAAATCGTCACTGTCTTGGCAGCATGTGCTTATAACAACCTCTTCATCCGAACTGGTTTGATTTTCTACGTCTGATAAGGCGTTAATTGGCGGCACTAGTGCCAATAACTTTGATGCCCGTGATGTTTGTTTGAACACCTGCAAACAATACAAATTGTTAGAAAAAACATTACACATAATGACTAAATACGCATCCTAGAATATGAAATCATATTATCAGTTACTTTTCTAAGTACCTGGCAGTGTTCAATATACTACACATCCCAAAACCGCACTAAAACAGTACCTACTTGGCAATGGGAAATATACTGGACAAGCTAATTTAATTCAGTATTACGATAAATACGTAACAGCTATTGTAATTTTAGTTTGTGTTCACAAATTCATAGGTTTTATAAAACATATTTAGGAAAGATGAGTAATCATTGCAAAGTAAAATAACGAATAAATCGGGACTTACCGAGAGCGGTCGCGGCACGTGCTTCCTTCCAGACATTTCGGCGGCGACTGACTAGCAATGAGCACGCGCACCTTACGCGTAATTTCATATACATTATATTACTTTATAAATAAACTAATGTAATTAAAATAAATACAATATAGTTCTTAGAAATGATTGTATATTTTTTTTAAGCTGATGTCCAATATTTTTCACGTTATCGAATTAAGGGTTATAGAGTAAATCATTTTCTTAACAAGTAACTCCTTTAGAACTTTCTTGAACTTTGGTAAAGGAAGATCTTGGACAAGACATAATCAAATGCATGCATAAATAAAGAAATACACGTCACGTCCGTTCGTTTTAACAAGATATCTTTATATCCGTACCATACATCCATCTTTTGATTAAGTATAATACGTGGGAATATGCTTGTAAAAACCGATTCTCAGTAACTTTGGGAGGTATTTGAACTCCTGAGGACAATGATGCCATGGGGAAAACTTACTACAAATAGAACAATACAAATAATTAATATGACATAGTCAAAAATAATTAATAGTTCAGAAGGCTCATTGTAATTAAAAAACGCCCACATGTCAAATTAGTCATAAAAGCTATTGAGGTAATGATCTGTTGTTTCTATTATCGATCCGATGGCACGCGATTTAAATGGTACGATGGAGTTTCCGGCTTTAGAGTTCAAGGCCAAGTAGATGTGTCATAAAATAATGCGTGTTACGTATACAACGCTACAGTAAATAAACTTATATACCAGTTACATCATTATTTGGGAATAATTTTGATTATCTCGTATCTGGTTTACACATGAAATTCATTACATCAAGTGGGTGTTTTGCAGAATACGTACAGGTTATCTGGACTTGTTTCTCTACCTACGCTTCTTAGATAGAATGTTGTATTCTGGCTGTAAGCAAGAAGTAAATGATATCCACATTAGTTTAAACCCATAAAAATATTTGCCAATCAAGGAGAACTCTATGATACAGTTGGAATATTCCAACAATTTTGTTCATTGGCATATAAAATAACTTCTTCCCTTGTATGGATTATCCTATTACAAATGATTCACTATTACTAATTCTGTTTGGACAAGCACCGGCTATTTGCATAAATAAGCAGTTTGTTTAAATACTTATGTGTGAACCTCACCTTCTTATATGTTCAAGAATAAATATTTGTAAAGCATCCAATGTTACGATAATGGTTTCTGACTGGTCATTAAGTACACTAATTTATTAAATCTACATAAATTATTTGCATCTGGCTGTACGTAATTAAAACGCAATTTCAATTTATTAATTTTCAATATTTTATGTGCGGTAAAATCCGATAGAAATAACAAAGGGAAAATTATTTATAATTGTAATATTAATCATGCATTTCATAAAAGACGATAATAATATCTATAAACTACTTTTAATTGCAAATAATAATTATATGTCATAAAATAAATACAATTGTAAAATAATTATATGCACGCATAATACGCACGGTACATCACTATCGCGAGGTCGGATCTGAGTATACAATGCATCCCACGCGCGGACTATTTCAGAATTCAGATTTAAGAGTGGCATGCATCCACGGAGGGATGCAGAAGGTCAGGATGTATGGGTATGATGGACGGATTGCAATAGACAATTTTTTATTTCAATGTCCGTCTGGTAGATTATATAAAACATTAGATACGTATATTGATTTGTAATGTCACGTGATGTCACTTCTATGTACATTTTATACGTAGAAATGACGTTTTAGCCCCCACTCCAAAACCGTGATTGGTTATATCTAGGTATCATTTTATTATACGACAAATTAAAAAAAATACGTAACATAACATAACATCACGCCTTTTATCCCCGAAGGGGTAGGCAGAGGTGCACGTTATACCACTGTACAATGTAACACCCACTTTTCACTATTTATGTTATGAGTCCCATGTAATAGGGGGTGAGCCTATTTCCATATACCGGGCACAATTCCAGACTCTTTCTTGAAAAAAAAACAGTAAAACTTTGCCCGACCCGGGAGTTGAACCCGAGACCCCTTGCCCGGCAGTCGCACTTGCGACCACTCGGCCAACGAGGCAGTCATCAGTCAGTAATTCAGTTATAATTTAATCAAATTATATTAGTTTAGTCGAGTCCGTTGGTAATGATTTATAAATTGTGTGGATACGTAATGTTTCACCTTTCTACAGTTCGGTGAATAAATTTTGTAAGATTTAGGGTTGTAGCCAGGCGTGGGACGGCGTGGCGGTCACTACGAGAATATAAAAAGTATATACGTCTAAATAAAACTGCGAGGAGATTTATATTTTGATTCTCTGTAACACACACGTTTGTGAAAGAGAATGCATTGAGATTATGTAATTCCAAGAGCTTTTGTTTTGCGTTTATTCAGTGCATAAGTGTATAAAATAATTTTTTGCTATTATGAACGAATGGTCCTTTTTTTCTGTGTGGGAATAATCATTTAATGACTTCTCTCACCCGGGTGAGGCGAGAGGGAGTATCAAACAGTTACTGAATAAAAAACTTCCCCGTTCCTACTCCTGCATTCGAGCCAGAGCCCTGGGCAACCTGTTGACCCAATGTACTCCTTAGTACCTCGTAGCGGTTTCTTCCATGCGAACTATTATAACTGTTTCTAACACACAAACATTTTGTTAGACAACAATAGATTTCCACTAAAAACAAGACGATTCAATAAGCTATAATCTACTTAGAACTTTATTAGTCATGAAAATAAACTAAAAATAGCAACGAAACACAAACAAGATTACTATAGGTCGATTATTAACCTACATAGTAAGTAGCATAGTATATTATTTACAGTTGAATAATGAAAAGACTTTTGTGCATCATAAGTACCTCGAAACTAATTTTCCACTAGCAGTTTAGAATTTCTCTCGACTAGATCATAATCTGGGAAGAAACTGGACATGTGTCACTTAAGACAATGATAGATGGAGACCGAAGAGGGGCATCATATTTTCTTTAACTTAACAAAACATTTTTTTTTCTAAGCATAGTTATAGAATCTACTGCCTCGTTGGCCGAGTGATAGCAAGATCACTGCTGGGCAAGAGTTTCAGGTTCGATTACTGGGTCGGGCAAAGTATAAGGATTTAAAAAAATACTCAGTAGTAGCACGGAGTCTGGAATTGTGCTCGGTATATGGCAATAGGCTCACCCCCTATTACATAGGACTCATAACTAAGTGCCGTAATGTGCATCTCTGCCTACCCCTAGGGGTATAAAAGTTTAGTAATATAAGAGCTTAAAAACATTTGTTTTCAATTTGTCAAAGAGCCTTTTGAATTTGCATTGGTTCGAGATCAGAATCTTACAGGAATTGGAAATGAAGTGTAGCCTATTTCTGAAAAGCACTTAATTTTGTCTAAGATTTTGAGGTTCAAAGCTTATAAAATTTAAACTAATACCTTACAATAACTTCCTATGAATTGTATGCCTACAGTTATAATCGTATTATTGTGGTATATGAAGTAATAATAGGAAATTGAAAAACAATGGACGTTATTAACATTTTGACTGGAGTACGTCGAATGACAATAGAGACCACACCATGATTGAGGTTAACGGTAACAATCCCTTTTCCATTTCCTTATTCAAATAGAGTTATTATAATTACATAACAATAAACGTATATAATAACCTATTCTACATTATCCTGACATTAATGCATAATGCCAATATAAGTAGTGCAGTCATTCATAAGTTACATGTAGGCATATACCAGCGCAACAAGCTAATAGCCTAAGCCTTAACTGATTATAGCCGAGCTTCACTAATAGTGGTCTAGCCGTCTAGTGGCAACTCTATTAAGGTTCAAAATTAATCAACTATTGTGCTCTGATCTGCCAGTTTGATAAATGCTCATTTATTTGAATCTGGTCAATTACCCTATCAAACTCATGTAACGAAACCATAGCGCAATCTATTTCGATCCCAACGCCATCTATCTAGTGAGGGGTATAACTTTTTAATGCATATTGATTGCTATGGTTTCAAATTTACATTTTGGTCAGAAACATTAACTATTAAAAGATTTAATCGATTTCCAACTTTATTGATTTGTAATGACGTCAAAAACGTATTAAATAATATTGGTGTAGCTTAATCTGCTGCCAACCAGTACATTCTTTCAGTGATTCATGTTCATTTAATTAAAATTTCGATACAAATATCACAAACATTCGTTACACCTTGTCACCACGTGCGTAAATCAGTTTATTAGATCATCGTTGTAATATGAACAAATACAGCTAACATATTGTTAACAGGCTGTCTAATCAAAGTGTCGATATAATGATAATGTGTGTTTATCTAATGTTTATAGGAATATTACTTAACCATGTTTTTTTTTAAACTAAAACGTTTATGTTACTTTTAGTTAAACTATGCTTAGAATTTTCATGGTTTTAATTTCGTTGAGAATTTGGAAAAGGTTGAGATTAGTAAGAAATTTTAAGACTTTCCAAGACAGAAGGCATGCACTTTATCAGGGGGTAAGCCTGTTACCATACACCACAGTTCTATTGAAGTTTTTTGTGTTGTAAGAAAATAAAAAAAAGTCCAATATTTCATGTATATGTGAACTAAGAGACGAAACTGGGTACTAGAAATGAAGGTACTAGGATTTTGTTGTGTCCTAAAACAATTTATTGTAGAACGAAACTACGATATTTTATGTACCAGGACGAACAGAGAAATAATATTAGTCAGCATCCTTATTTTTATTTCTATAACTCACGTTCAGTGGTTGTTATTATGACATAACCAAAAGGAGGAATTAACTCCCAACCAAGGTTTTCCCGTTGGGCTACAACGTGGAGTTCTTCAAGAATTTACTCCTTGTAAATAGATTTGTTAATGGTTGGCAGGCCACGATAACCACTTACCATCAGGTGGGCCGTGTGCTTTGTTATGCTCCATCGTGGTCTAAAAAACGCTAAATATAGTTATATTCTTCCCATTGCCTAAGTGGCGGCTTTATACCAATAAAAATCATAGCAAATATTGCATTATGTGAAACAAATAATCCTCATGAAGTATTTTATCTGAAGTGAAGTGTTTGATTTATTAATACGGTTAATCGGTTATATTAACGGCTTATATGAGTTTG